TGCAAAGAAGTGTATCTTCTATGTTATACTCTAATGCCATGAATACGTGTGCGAAACAAGAAGATATATGCATGTGATGGGTGACGAATTCTACTCATTAAAGATTTTTTCTTTTTTTGATCTATATCGTTCTGTTCTCTTGTCTTCAATTGGTTCAACTTATTCATTGGTGCTCAATAGCACATCAGAAAAAGAAGAGAGAAATAGCCATGATGAACATGTTCATTCATCAAACAAAACATGAAAAGTCTTATGCCGGAACTGCAACAGTTGCAGAATTCCGACTAGCCGATTATTGATCTCGAAGAAGGAAATTGTATATGTTTACAATAAAATATTGTCTTGAAAAAAAAAAAAGAATCTATTTGGATAATCACCTCGTCATACCGAGGAAATCAATTTGTTGACCGATCAGATAAGCGAAATTAAATTTGCCGTCTTATATCTCTGATGTGATCATGTTATAACAGATCTACTCAAACAAGTGACAATGTTGAATAATATCGACACATATATATTATGCACCTTAGGGATAGTAAGATTGTTGTCAAAAAAATTTTTTTGTCCATAGAGAGAAAACAAAATTCTAGCCAATTGATATCACGCAGATAAAACAAACTTGTTAGAAATAAACAATTGACTTTTAAATTAGAATTATGCCATCAATTTTCACATAGTCACAGTCTGTTCGTATGTTTGTACATCAATCATCGACTTTACCAATGTCATCAGCATCTTAATGAATGCAAAACAAAAAATTAAATTAAATTTCCTTTCACCACTTCACTATACACTTGATCACCAACAATTGAGAACATTCTTGAGTTGGACAGATGCACATAAAGTGTACGAATCAAAAAAAAAAAGAAGACGAAAATTTAATATAATCGACATGTTGTCAGCATTTCTGATTATTATATAGGAAAAGAAAAACACTTGCTTGTTCTTCTTAATCCCCTCGATTTCACTTATGTTGCAGATGCTTATTCGATGATCAGTTTTGTCAATATTAAAAAGCATTGATTTAAATCAGTTTCATTAAGAGAGATTTTTTTTTTTTCTCTGTTAAAGAGAAATATAAATAAAAAGAATGATGTCTACGAAATTACATTCGCAATATTATTACATCTATGATGATATGAAAGAGAAAAGATCAAACACTCTTGTTTAATGAGGAATATACAAGCACAATTGTAATACATTGTTAACAGCAGGTATTAGAAGTCCTCGTGTCATATTACATGTATTTTTAATCGATTTAGTAATAAGAAAAAATAATCATTTGGATTCATCATTGTAAAACTTTAAAATCGATTACATATGATTTAATTGAGGAGAGAAAACAAGCAGAACAGAATTTATACTGTTTCTTGTTGACAGATGGGATGTCTTTTGATTTTGGGCAACATCGAATAATGCTGAATTTTTGCTATTAAATTAGATAGTGATTGATTAGTATTTTTGATTTGTACGATTCTATAGTTATTTTCTTGCTTATGATGATGACTGAAAAAATATTTCAGGAGAAATAATGATAATAATTGAGTACTTTTCTAAAATCAATTGATTGATTTTCTTTTAATATCTACTGACAAATCGTATTAGATCGTTATATATATATCTTTGTTTTGTTCATACATTTTGAAAGAACATTTCTTTACCTATGAAGATAAGATCACACTTTGATATAAGAAAAAATGTATAGAAATAATATTTGAAATTTTTTCTGTCTACGAAATAAATCTTATGAATACGTTTAAATTAGAGATAGAACTAGTACCGATACAGTTTTCAGGTTGACCGGTAGCTGATAAAACGGTCATTAACTGGTAGACCGATTCCATTTCTGTTTGAAAGAATTTGAAATATTTTCTATTTCGTTAATAAATATGTAATATTGTATGAAGTGCTAGTTGCAATTAAATGGCGTAAATGGATTAGAAACTGTAAATTATTCGTTTTTTTTATCATATCAATAAAGTAATCATTATGTAACTCATACAAAGATTTGCTTTTTTTTCCTTTCGTCATAGAATAAGAATGAATATGAATGTAAAAATGAATATATTAAAAAAGAAATGGCTACTGTCAGAATATGTACGTTAACTCAAATATATTCCATCGTGATACATTTACAGGAATGTTGATTACAAACAATATGAAGTCGGGAATCAAAGCATGGAAGACATTCTATCCTAACAATTAGACGACATTGGCCTGAAAGACTTCTGGTCACAACTTTGAGAATTCAATTTTTCGATAGTCATATTTGCCAGTGGCGACGGATGATTGAAAAGTAATTAGACAAAGTGTTCATTCATCTTTCAGTCTCTGACAGGAATATGTAGAAGTTTGAAAACATTGGTTCACAATCAAGGTTTTGCATTGTTTCCGAATGTAAAATATTTTAATTGATATGTTTTTCAGCAATAGTCTCCTTTACTATATACGTGATATTAACAATTTTTACGGATCGAATTAAAGGTGAGATTGTTCTCTACAAAAGGATAAAAGAATCAAGAGTTCTAGAGCAATCATTTAGGGATAGCTAAGTTCACCTTACATGTTTGGTTTCCATACAAATTGAGAAAATTGCTACGGTGTTCCTTATTTGAAATACTCACTGTTGACGAACGAATTGCAGCAAACTAATCATTAGTATACTATTTTATATAGATATAGTTGCGCTTTCATACACCGTATTTGAAATAATTTTTGCTTTTACTTTGAGTAGTTTTTGAAGCGTTCAAGTTCTTTCAAACGTAATTTACAGATTCATAAAAGCTCGACTCATAACTTCTAAACGAGAAGCCTCCAATTCTGACTCTAATCTAACATTTTCAAATTTCTTTAGAATTCTGTAATAGGCTGAAAAGTGAATGAATATTTGATCTAATTGCTTTTCAATTGCCAGTTATTATTTATAATAATACAAATATTAAATTTTAAAGTCGCTAATGTACTCGTTATGTTCTGATGGTTCATATTTGCATAAAATTTTAAAAACTCATATAAAAATATATGCAAAATGGTTATATAAAATAATCTTTAGTCTAAAAAAGATACATCAATGGATAGAAGATTTCTATATGAATGTGTTTCATAGATATGAACGATTTTCAGATTGCTCAATTTTTCAAAAGTTACCGAAAATCTTCAGTATTTATCCATGAATAGTTTATAACGTTTGATGCAAAAGTAATTGCACAAATGTTGAATCCTATTTCTCGTCGATAGAAGAGTACTGAAAGAAATGGTTTTTTATTAGAAGTTAAAGTTTTTTTTTTCTTCTTTCGAATCATATATAACTTATTTTTTGTAACACGTTCATGAATGAAACAAAGTAGCAGAAAAGAGAAGCAACCTCAAAAAGACCCCGCACTTTTTGTAAGATTCAGAAAAATGGCATAAAATGTTGATTCTTATATTTCTTTGATAAATAGATTCTGAAAAGAATATTTTTTTAACCAGTTGATAGGAAATTTTCTCCTGTAGCGAACAGTGTATGATTTATATTTGTTAGACATTTGTAAATGCAATACAATGAGAGAACAAAGAGAAACATTGGCACAATAAATTTGTAATTTTTAGATAAATTCATCAAAAACATCGTGTTAGACAACAATTAATTGGATTTATATGGACTCATTACAAAGCCCTTGTAAAACGGTGGTTATTTTGACTTTAATGAACTTGTTAAAAAATATTTTGTAAAACAAGAGTTAATAATAATTAACTGTAGCCTACAAGATCTTGTTGTTAAATTCATATAAAAGTCACAATTTTATTGTGCCAGTGTTTCTACTTTTTCTTTTGTTGCATTGCATTTACGAATGTCTAACAAATATCAATCATACACTGTTCGATAGAGGAGAAAATTTCCTATCAACTTATAAAAAAAAATATTTTTTACAGAAAATATTTATCGAAAAGATATGAGAATCGACATTTTGTGGAATTCTTTTATAGAAAAAGTGAGGGTTCTTTTTAACGAGTGCTTCTCTTTTCTACTTCTTTATTTCATTCATGAACGTGTTATAAAAATAAGTTATATATGATTCGAAAGAGGGTGAAAAAGTTCTATCTTCTGATAATCAACATTTCTTTCAGTACCCGCCTATCGAAGACAAGTAGGGGTTGACATTTGTGCAATTACTTTTGTATCAGAGGTCATTTCGAACTTTGATCTTAACATACAGCATGTTTTTGTTATAGATGTGCGGGGCCAAGTTGTTTTTGGTTCTGTTTCGATTCTGGCAACTTCTTTTCTAGTGGTTCCTATTTCAGTCGAGAGAAAATTATTGCAAAATTACTGATATCACGTCCAGAATAATTCTTCAATACTCGTTCTGTTGATTTAAATGGTTGATGACAAGCAGCTTTTTATGTTATCTCGTTGACAGTATGCTCTTTTTCATATGATTTATAAGATAGATTGATTAAACCTGTAGAATATTTTACTGAAAACGTGAATTTCAATTTCAGCATATTTTTTCTCATGATCACGATCCTGTACATCTCTAGTCTTTGTAAAGGCATCATAGGTCAAAACGAGTGATAGTAACGTATTGGTATATTTTCTATTCTTTAAATATCCTAATGCGTTCGTTTGCTTATTTCTTTACCATCAATACTTATGTAGGAAGATATTATGCCGTTAATTCTTGTTTACTTTATCAAATTTATAATAAATAATTACCAATTAATCATAATGCTTATTTTGATTTCTTTGCTTATAAACAAACATAATATTTCTTAACTAAAATCAAAGAAATTAATAACTGATGTTTACTTCATCGATTTTTATTATTGACTAATAGTGTTTATAAAAACATGAATGATGACGTATGTCTATCAAACGTGTACATGAAGGTCAACACTCTCTCTGTTTTTTTTTCTGCTTTATACTGTCATGTGGTCTGATTTGCGTTTTACAACATGTATGACATGTACGTAAAAACTCAAATAATCCAAAACATAATACAGTTAAAGAAAAAGATATGTCGCTTATTAGTGCTTTACCATCATTATCCTATCGTTTAAATCCATTTCTAAGTGATATTAATTTTAAAAAATCATGTGAAACTGTTCTTAAAAAAAGTAAAAGTATTAATAAACGTGTTCTTAGCAATATTCTTGCTAATGATAATCCAGAAAAACCATTTATTAACGATGATAAACATATATATATATGGTATTTAGCCATTGGTAGTATGATTAATCCAATATCATTGTATTTACGTGATCTAACACCAGTTATTTCTTATCCTGCTAAATGTCCTAATTATAGATTGGTTTTTCGAGATTGTGGAATGGCTGATATTCAGTTTTGTGAAGATGAAGAATTTCATGGAGTTGTACATTTATTACCTATCAAACAAATGTTTTATTTAGATCAACTTGAACATATGTATAAACGTATTACAGTTGATATAAATGATTATCAAGAATGTTCTCATCATGTTTATGTTTATAAAATGAATTTAATTGGACAAGAAGAAAGACCTATAAATATACCATCAGAACGCTATCTAGATCTTATTGTTAAAGGTTGTGAACATTTTGGTGTTAATTCTGTATATATTAATCGTTTAAAATATGAACAACCAGTTATTCCTCGAAAATTACCTACAACATATGAAACTATTAATAATATACCCGATAATATTTATTATACAGATGAAGATCTTTTAAAACATAATGGAAAAGATCCAATGTTTTCTTTATGGATTAGTGTTAATGGAAAAATATTAGAATATACAGGTTTACCATCAAATGATCATCCAGATTATGAAAATCAAAAACAATTCTATGAATTTGTTTTGTCACATTTTGCTGGACGAGAAGTTACTCATGCTATATCAAAAGCATGGTATGAACCAATGTACAAATTGCCATTGGATGATGATGATTTATGTGATGAACATCGTGCTTTAGCTGAAGATATGTGTGTTTCCTGGGGTCTTGATAATAGTAGAAAGAATAATGAATCATATTGGAGACCAGTTGGAAGACTTTGTCAAACATTGAAAAGAAGTGAACTTTGATGAATTTACATGTATACTGAACTGTTTGCTGCCTTTTCAAAACAATTATTCATATTCAATAAAATGTAAATAAGTTTTCTAATGAATAAGAATTTCTTTACCTTTTTTTTTGTTATGATAACCGTGATATGAACCTATGTTTCGAGTGTCGATAATTTGTATCTAATAGCTTGTAAATTTGCATATAAAGAAAAATAAAACATTTTAATTTTAAAAGTTTTTAATTGTTTTTTAAAAATGCGACAGCATTGATACGTTTTTTTTCCAATGGTTTACAGATTAGCAAGCGATGCAAAAGTATTAGGAAAAATGTTGAGCTATACCGCTCAGCTATTTCAGAACATGAAAAGTTAATTTTCTTATTAGAAAAAGCGTGTCAAGTACATGCACTACAAAAAAAAACAATATTTAGAGAACTGAATACATCCGTTTCGCCACATAACTCGAAGTTTCTTCCGAACATCATCCACCATGGCTTGCAAAATTTCTTAATCAAGTTCCTTTGTCCTTTGTTTGATAAATTGCAATTCGGCAAGCTTGAGGTACGTTTTTCTCATTCAATCGCTCTTGAACTATATTTGAATAATGTTCCCTTACTTAATCGGATCGAACCGGACGCATTCCATTTCATTAATATTTATCAGTAAAAGGCAATGACCTTTTATTAATAATTTCTTATATATGTATTTCTTGATCGACAACTTGCTTGCTTTTGTAAACAAAGACGTTCAAAATGCATTTCTAGGCCTTAAACACGTATGTTATTACTTTTAGTTCAAATTTCACTTTCTTTTGAAATCTAATGTTTAGAGAAGTTGTAATTCGATCAATTGAACAAAAATTAGTGATTTCCGATAATGATATTTCTGGTTAGTTTGAAGTATTTTACATAATCGATAATTAAATCACAACCACGAAACAATTTTTCATATGTATTTACTTTGTCATAAATTTTTGTATTCGAGTCTGTTGCTTTATACTACGCAATTATGGAGCTTGACGACGTTTCCTTAAAACAATTGTTGTTCATCGTGAACGATTATGTGAAATTGCTAATCAGTATACCCGGAACCATCGCAGCAATCATTCACAGTTTTTAAAAATATCGTTCAAGATCTTATTGAAAAATTTGACTAATCAACTAAACCAAGGATGATCTTGTGTGATTTCACATTTTAAATACTTAATGAAATGTTTTGCATTTTAAAATAATTTACCTTAGTTTTTTACGAATTTATTAGAGGAGTCACAGTGAAAGTTGCAAATATGTTATAACAGTACTTTTCTTTTGTCATGCATCGTTTTTTTTCATGAATAAACAATTCAAATTTATCATATATATTTGAAAAGAGGACTAAACAAGCTACTAGCTGATAGCAAAATGCTCGTACCAACATATGTGTGTAGTCTGGAATAGTGTTGAATATTTTCTTAAAGGCTTCTGTTTTTCTTTCATTTGGAACAGTTGTCTTTCAATTGTAGTACTCATATGTCCAGTTGTTTATAAATAAAGCTAATACATTTAAGATTGTTTGCTTCGATTTCTTCATAAGAGTTATTGTTTTAAAACATGATTAAAATCTCATAACGAAAGGACAAATCGGTGCACAGTATCTTTAAAATTATGGAACTATGTGAAGAATACAAAAGAATCATAGTTAATCTGTAAAATATATGTACAACACTAACAATATCATAGTGTTCAATGTAGTATATTTTGTGCCAAAAAGAGAAGACAGTATAAATCGACGCACTTGTGAAAGACCGCCATGCTATTAGGAAGTTATCATACCACTAATAATTATAAAAAATAATTAAGTATTGATTAATTTAATCTTAAGTTATTTTGAAAACGAAATTATATCGTTTTGCTTTCATCGAATAACTCATATATCGAATTATGATTATTTTCTTTGAATCATCAAAAATAAAGAAGTATTTATACAAAATTATCTTGATTGATAAATAATATGCCAATAAACTTTAGTAGTAGGAAGAATACCAAACAGTGTATCACAAAATTAAAATTATAATTTTATTAATATTCCAATGAAAATGAGTTCAAATAAGAAGTATTTTCTTCTTCACATTACAAAACATTTCATGATACAAATTTTAGTACAATACGATCGCTTAATTCGATTATATTTATATGAAATATTCTTTAAAAACTATTTATTTTATTTATTTTTATAATATATCCATCTTTCTCATCTTCTATATGAGTTTTCCAAGTGCTAAACGATAATAACGACCACCGAGAGCAAGTAATTCTTGATGAGTTCCACTTTCAACTATAACTCCATTATGTAAAACACAGATCATATCTGCATTTTGAATTGTTGATAAACGATGTGCTATTGTAATGGATGTTCGATTTTGTTGAGCCCGATCTAATGCTTCTTGAACTATCCTTTCATTTTCACTATCCAATGCACTTGTTGCTAAATAAATATATACAATATAGAACACTCACCGTCTTACTCTTCTTACCTTCATCAAATAACAATATCTTTGGATCTCGAATTAGTGCTCGAGCAATGGCTAAAAAAAAAACCAATACAAGGTATTATAATTAGACTCTTGACAAAAAAACTCTTGAATATCTTATCTTACCAATTCGTTGTTTTTCTCCGCCTGATAATTGAGCTCCTTTTGTACCACAATTTGTTTCATATCCCTGAAAAATATATATTCTTTTTTGGAAAAAAAGAACAATCTTATTCTATAACTTACTTTTGGAAGTTTTTGAATAAAATTATGTATATTAGCATATTTAGCTGCTTGAATGATTTCATCCATGGGAATATCACTTCGACTATTATCACCATAAGCAATATTTTCTCTTATTGACATATCAAATAAAACTGGTTCTTGAGAAACAATACCAACTAAAATATATCCATTTTAAACAGTTAAAAAGAAAAAAAATGAACTGTACTACATACTTTGTGATCGATACCAATGAAGATTAAGACTTCGAACATCTTTTGAATCAACTAACTATAAAAATAAAATCGAAGATGATATATGAAAGAGCAATAGACTAACCAATCGACCAATATTTGCATCATAGAAACGTTCGATTAATTGAATAGTTGTTGATTTTCCACAACCAGATGTACCTACATAAATAAATGAATGTATATTGAAATTGAAGACTTTGAAAAGAAAAATAAAGAAAGGTAATGTTTACCAACTAATGCAACTTGTTGACCTATGAAAAAAAAATTGATGTCAATGAATAAATCAAAAACAAACAAATATCAAATACCAGGTTGAATTTTAAGTTTGAAATTTCTAAGAATAATTGATTCTGGTCTGTTTGGATAAATGAAATGAACACCATCAAACTCTAATTCTCCACGAAAGTTAGACTAAAACAAGAGAAATAGAAAAAACAAAGGATCGATACTGTCCAAAATGATTAATATTAACTAACAATTTCATCACCATCACGTGAACCATTATCAATTATTGGTTTTCGATTCAACAATTCTAAAATCTTTTCAGCAGCATCAACAGCCTTTGTATAATCTGGAGACCTAACAAAGTAATAAAAAGAAAAGTTAAATTTTTGTCTAATCTTTTCGAATATTTTACATGGATGCTGTTTGTCCAACACTTTGTGCACCAAATACAATACAATTAAAACACCTAAAATAAAATAAAATAAAATAATCATATTCTGAAGATATTTTTATTCTTACAATAAAAGAGCTTCAAATGATATTGCATTGGTTTCAACTAAATAAGCACCTAGTTTAAATAATGCTGCTAAACTAAAATACATAACCGAGTTTGTTAATGCAAAGAATAAACCAAAGAGATGTGCTCGTTTTATTGATGATCTAAGACAATCATTAAAATAAATTCTCGATTAAATTTACAAATGAAAATCAATACCGATAAGGTATTTCAAGATATGTACAATATTCTTCGTAAAAATAATCTTCTTTTGTTAATTGTACAACTGTTCGAATATTTTGTATAGATTCTACTGTTATCTAAAGAACATATTAAATCGAATGAATAATATTTATTAGTTAAAAGATTAACGAACTTTGCCAGCATCTTCAAATGATTTTTTATCTTTACTAGAAAATCCAGTCATTAAACGACTTTGTAAAAAACCTCCAGCAACCATAAATGGAATAAAAGCAAGAATAAGTAGTGTCAATTGCCAAGAAAATACAAAAGCGAGTATAATACCAACACCAAGTGCAGCAAAATTTTGTATCATTAATCCAATACGAACACCGGTTGCTCCTTGTACAGAAGATGCTTCAGTTGCTAAACGTGTACACAATGCTCCTGTATTATTATTTGGATTATCAAAATAAGCAATTTCTTGACGTAGAATAGCATGAAATGTTTTAGAACGTAATCTTTTCGTTAGAGCTTCACCGGAACAAGCAAATAAAAAACCCTAAATAAATAAAAGAATAAACATATTTGAAATCATTTAAATAGAAGAATATACCTGAAGAAACATTGTGATTAACATTATAATAGCAAAAGCAATAAATAAAAGTATATAGAGTAGAACTCGATTCTTTTGAACTTCTTTATCACATTCTTGAAAAACCTTTTTCAATAAAATCAATATTTTAATTAATATGAAATTATTTGAAAAAAAAAATCTACCGCTGTTAGCTTGCTTAGAACAACACCAAATGCTGGTTGAATACCACCATTACATAGACATGAAATGCATCCAATTAATATTAATACCCATTCTGGTTTGTTCATTTTTAACATTTTAAGAGTAGCATTTGGCTTTTTTTTCTAATTAAAACACATTGATTAAAATTACGATAATTTTCAATTTAATTTATTTTTCTTTTTTTTTTTATTTACTTCAATGTCTTCTTCATTTACACTTTCACCTGTTCTTGAATTCTTCCTTTTACCATACAATGCATGCCGAACTGATGATGTTATACTAACTATAGTTGAAGCACGTCTTCTTGTGAAAGCTAAGTGAACGTCTTCAGTTTGATGTGCAACAATCGCGTCAGGATTTTCATTTTGTCCAAAAGCTAATTGTTCTTCTTCTTCAGCTCTACGTAAATTTTGTTGTTCAACAAGAGTAAAATAAGTTCCACGAGCACGCATTAATGATTCATGATCACCTTCTTCAACTACATTACCTTTATGCATAACAACAATTTTATCAGCATTACGAATTGTTGATAGACGATGTGCAATCACTAATGTTGTACGACCTAATAATAATCAACAATATCATGATAGAAATATTTCAGTTGTATGTCTAAGATACCTTGAGCAGCACGATCTAAAGCTTCTTGAACGATTTTTTCACTTTCATTATCAAGTGCACTAGTAGCTATTATATAAAATATAGAAGATATAATTATAAGAAGAAAAACGAATAAATGTTTACCTTCATCAAGAAGTAGAATCTTTGGATCTCGAATTAATGCTCGAGCAATGGCTATGAAAAATTTCATCAAAAAGAAAAGATGATCAATATTTTCATTCATATTTCAATTCTACAGTACCAATTCTTTGTTTTTGTCCACCTGAGAGCGTGGCTCCACGTTCACCTACTCGAGTTTCATACTTCTACAAATACATACACAAACAATCGAATTGATAAAATAGAAAAAATATAAGAAAACCATTAATATGATTTATACATATATATTACTTACATCAGGTAGAGACATAATGAAATTATGTGCATTAGCCATTTTTGCTGCTGTATGAACCTCGTCATCAGTCGCTGTATCTCTTCCAAATAAAATATTTTCGCGAATAGTTGCTTGAAATAAAATTGGTTCTTGACTAACAACACCAATATGTTGTCTTAACCATTTTAAATTATATTCATTGACTTGATGATCATCAATAAAAACTGAACCTGAATCAGGATCATAGAATCGTTGTAATAATTGTACACATGTTGATTTTCCTGAACCAGATGATCCAACCAGAGCAATCGTTTGACCACGTTTCACATCAAATGAGATACCATTAAGAATTTTAACACCAGGTCGTGATGGATAAGAAAAATGAACATTTGAAAAACGAATATCACCAATAAGATCGGTTTTTTTCAGACCTGTTTTTGAATCACTATTGATTTTAGATGGCTATAAAATAGAAAAAGTTAAAAATAAAAAAATTTTTATCTGCATGAATTTTTTAATTGTTTATTTACCTCATCAATAACTTGCCATGTAATGTAAGCAGCCGCACGTGCTTGACTTAACGCTTGAAAATGTGGACTAGCTTGACCCAAATTGAAAATAGCAATAATAATCGAAAAGAACACCTAAACATTATCATTATTATTGAAAAGATAAGGATTAAAACGACTTTACAAGCTATTTTACTGAGAAATATCTAAACATCAGTTATTTCACGAGGAAGCACTCCCAGGTGTTCACTTTTTTTTGAGCTCATACTTTTCTCATATATAGATCTTGATGAGCTATGACAAGTCTTTAAAGAGTTTGTGCTTATGAGAGTTCCTTGACAAAAATTTCAATTGTTCAAGTATTTTTCATGCACGTATAAATAGTAGCGAATGCTTTTTAGTGACTATTACAATGTATTAGACCGTAAATCGTTTTGAGAGTAAACTTAATGATAACTAGATGGTGTTAGATGTTCTAAAGTTTTTTTCTTTGATATCACTTTCATTAAAACGTAAACTGTTCATCTTCATGATTTGATTTATGAAGCTGAATATACGCTATTCACTAGTGTAATAAATGCTTGTGTTCTGTGAGAAAATCATACTGAAATTTCAAGAAAACAGCTCAAATTTTGGCGAGAAACTCCCATGAGCACAAACTTTTCGGAGACTTTGTATAGCTTACCAAGGCCTACTTACGAGCAAAATATAAGCTCAAAATGAAATAAACACCTTGGAATGCATCCGCCTCAATAGCAAAAATAAGATATTGATCCTCTTTTGCAATTGATGTCTTATAAGCTTTTCGAATAATGCCAAATGAATTATGAGTTTATTTGAGAATAATGAACTTACAATGATAACATCACCAATATTATAGCCTTCTTCTCGAATTAATTTTGCTCCATACCAAAATCCTATGGCCAAAATATACATTACATACGAAGTAAATTAATCATTAGTATAGACTAAATACCTAATGAATATGCACAATAGATAAAAAACCATACGCAACCCATTGTAAAGCCATTGATTGCACCTTTCTTTATACCATTTCTTTTAGCTTCACCAAGATGTTGTTCATATCTGTCAAAAACAAGTATATTTTTGTAAAAGAAAAACATAAAAGAAGAATAATTATTAATAAACATCAAACCTTTTCTCTTCACGTTCTTGTCCGTTATAAGATAGAACAGTACGAATTGAACTAAATACTTCTTCAGCTATGGCTCCTGCTTTACCATAAGCTTTTAATTCCATTGCTGTCAAACCGGAAGCAAGCTACCAATAAATATCATAAAGTTCTATTTCGGATTTCTTTTCTTTCGAGTATAGACAACTTACTTTGGAAAAAAGCACAGCTGAGGAAAATAGTAACGGAGATATAGATAATATAACTAATGTTAATTTCCATCCTTTAACAAAACCTATACAATAGATGTATTAAAAATAATAACTTTCTATTCATATATACATATATATATTTATATAAACTTACCAAGAATAAATCCAGTAAAAAAAGCACCTAGAAATTGTGATGTTGAACCAAGTTTATCTCCAATTCCATCATGAATTTTATTAACATCATCTGTTAATTTTGTATTAAGTTCACCAGCTTTATGTATATCAAAATAAACAATTTCTTTTCGTAGAATTGATTGAAATAATTTTTTTCTAATAGCTTTAGTTTGTCTTTCAGCTGCCACACTCCAAAATAGTACTTGAACATATCCTAATACTATTCCAATGCAACCAAGCGCAACTAAATATAATACTTGTTTTTGTATTTGACTTTGAAAATCGAATGAAGTTTCATTAAAATTACAAATACTAAATCATTATAATTATTATTTTTAAAAAATTTTTCCTTTATTTTTCCTCTCTAAACATATACTTACGATAGCGATGACAAATAATTCGATGCTGTTAATTGATAACCTGGTGGACAATATGTACTAGCAATAGCTGTAAAATTAAGTCCACATAAATCAGTAGATCGATCAGTAAATGAATTTAGAAGATCTCCAAATACAAGAACCATTATTGGTAAAAGAACTCCATTACCAAGACCTCCTACAGTGCCAACTAACATATAAATTACATCAAGTGCTGTGGCATATCGAAACTAATATATATTTATATATTACAATTGTTATTCAATAAAGAATTATCATTTCTTACCAAACTTGCAACGCTTACAGTTCCAGCAAATTTTTTCTTTTTTTTTTCGTTTGGAAGCCTTTCAAGAGAATTTGGTTCGTTAGAATTTTCTTTTTCGTTCGATGAAGTAACACTATATATGAGAAGAATATTAAAATCAAAATAATTGTCGATCATACTTTTTATTGATAATATCATTGTGATATACATCAATGATTTCTTCGGTGTTATCGGATATATATGCACCATGATTGTCAGTCATTGTGTAGCTTTTATTCGAACAAGATACGCAAAATGAGATTGTTGTAAATGCCTTGCGTACTTTTTTTTATTTTTGGGTTTTGTTTTTTTTTGTTTTTTTTTTTTCTCTTTTTTCGTTCTCAACAGCATTTCAACGTCAATATTTTACACACTTGAATCGCCATACATCTTTCAGTCAAACATGTATGATGACATTTTTTCAACTAAAGTACAACGCAAATGGATCTTTTGTTTTACTATATGTATTCTGGATGTAGTTCAGGCAAATACGTACTTAAAAAACGAATAGTTTGTTCTAGAAGTGAGATCAAGTGATGTTTCCTTGAATCGAACTGTAAACAGACTTAATTTTAACAATGTCACATTAAATGTTATATTAAAAAATAAATGCTCGAACTGAATTACTCTTTCATGTTTAGTTATTATTTAAAATATTGAACAAGAAGTAAGACTCTTCTAGAATCCAATATTATGTACTTCTGTGCAAATAGTTAACTAAGGTAGAATGCCTAGGGACAAAAAATTTATGCAATGAATAATATACACTTGAACAAAATAAACAACGGGAAAAGAACGAAAAACTTTAACTAAGTACATGAAATACGAGAAAAATAGAATCAAGCAAATTCAACATGCTTAAAAATATCTATTTTTCCGTCGAATAGTGTACTATCAGCTTTTTTAGGAGATCGGAGGCGGTTTATTAATTTTATTTTTATATAGTTTTTTATAAAAAAACATGTCGATGTAATTGTGAAAATTATGAATTAAACTAAAGAATTGATACTTGTCAATAGTATTACCTTGAAAATCCATTTATTAAGTTCCATTTACTATTGTTGATCAACTTCTAACACATTGAAGAACTTACTGCTACGAAATAGTGGCAAGTATTGTAAGAGTAGTTTCTTTCAGATTATCTTTAATATCAATATTTACTAAACAAATCAAGAATTTATTAGAAATTATTTATTCTCAAGGTTAGTCGTAAACGAATACGACTGAGTAAAGTATCATAAATTCGTAAAAAACAAAAGAAACGAAATAGACAACAAATACATGAGTCAATTTTATACAACAAATTAAAAATGCAAACAACATTAATATTTCTATCATGCAATTTTGCGAGATTCGAAAAAAAAAAGAAAGAAAAAAAATTAAACTTCAAAATGAATACTATCTCTATCGACAAGCATAGATTGTGGAGGATTTCGTCCGCTACTTAAAAGTGTATCATTACGAACAAACGATGATGTTGTTGGTGGAGTCATAAATGTTCGATATTTTTGTGTTTGTGTATCACCTTGATTTCCAACAGGTTGTACATCAATTAATGATGATGATGTTGTTGATGATAGTGTTGCTGATTTTTCTTCAAATTGTCGAAATCTTTTCATAAGTTCAGTAAATGTTGGTCGTTGTTCACTAAGTTCTTCCCAACATGAACACATTAATGCATATATTCGTTTCGGACAATTCGTTGGACATGTTAATAATTTTCTATCACGTATCATTTCAATAACTTCAGGATTTGTTCGTCCATAATATGGTTGTGTACCATATGAAAACATTTCCCATAGTAAAACACCATATGACCAAACATCTGACATTTCAGAATAAATACCTGATAATAAAGATTCTATTGCCATCCATCGTACTGGTAATGAACGATTAGCTATTTTATAATAATCAGTATCATATTTTGGACGATAACGTGCTATATTTGAAATTTTTATATCCATATGTTCTGATATAAGAATATTTTTAGCTGATAAATCATTATGAACAAAATTTTTTTCAGCTAAATAAATCATTCCTGAAATAATTTGTATTGATATATAAAGAAAATCGGTTAAATCACGTTGTTGATATAATGATATTGTTGTTGAACGTTGTAATAAATATTCATGCAAATCACCATCATTTAAACGTTCATAGATCATTAATGATATTGCATCTTGTGGTTGAATACAAATACCAAGTAGACAAGATATATTTGTATGATGTATATGACGAAAAACTTAAATATAAAAAAAAAATTTTAATTTATTTAAACAAAAAAATTCGGGAAAAAGATCTTGTCCAATTTAGTGACTTATCTTGAATCAACATACTTTGTATGCGATATTGTAGAGTAATTTGTGGCACATCAAATACTATATAAGAGATCAAGTTTTATGAAAATTTTCATGTGTTTAACACCCATATACTCGTTATGATCCTTCAAAAAATATATATGGTGCCCATAGACATTGCAGTATCACCGATAAACTTATACAAATCTTGCTTTTTAAACTTTATTCGATGCAGGTAGATTATTTCTTGACCACTTGATATTTCGATGTATTCAACTCTGATCTACAGAACAAATGAGTACTCATTTGTAACTTTTTTTAAATTACGTACTATCGAGTACTGTATGTTTCATAGATCATATCTTTTGGAGCAACAGATACTCATTGCCAACTTGCTACATTGCTCTATAGAATAACCTATTCTCTTATATGCAGGGGTTGGTATACTAGAGATATTTTAACAATCCTCAACACCATATTCTCTGCAGGTATTCGAAAACCAATGAAGAAGTTATTTTTATCAGTGATGTGGCACTGATTATTGATAGATAAAAAGTTTTAATACGATCTTTGAATATTGTTAAAATATTAACACTATACTGAGTCCTTCATATAAGAAAATAGGTCATTCTGAGAATTAATCTTACAAGCTACCAATAAGTCCTTGCTGTTCCGAAAGATGTTATATATGAAAAATATGGAACTTAATAGTGTGAAATTTTTGAGACACAGTTGAACACAATGGAATATGAAATAGTTAAAACATCAACGAGACATAACAAAAAGGCACCAGTTCTAAGTATGAAAAAAGTGACGATGAAAACTATTTTTGACAGAAAATTGAAGAGTGCATACAACTCAATCGAAGTGAGAACCAGTATAGAAACTCTCACTACATAAAAATTTCCATGAAAATTGATTTCATATATATATTATTCTATACGCCAAAAAGTACTATGCAAAATCAGATATATGAGATATCCTGTATCAAGATAGGTCACAAAATTCAACCGATTTTCTTTCATTTATTATTACTTTCTATTTCACGTGAATATTCTTCACGATTTTGTTGTGTTGCATATTCAGCTTGTAAAGTTTTTATTATACATTTATTTGAACTATCAATTAATTCACCTTTATATATTCGTCCATAATCACCTGAAAAAGAAATAATATTAAAAATATATTTAAAAAAAAAGAAACATAGTTTGATTTTTACCTTCACCAAGCTCTTGTAAAAATCTTATATTTGTAAATGGTATTTCACACAATGAATTTTCTGTTAATGAATGATGATGAATATTTGGATGTTTTGATTCTGTTTTAAGTAATGTTTGTCGAAGATATGTATTTGTAAAATTTGTATTTGTTGATGATGATGATGAAGGTATATGACGTGGATTCGGTTTATGCATATTTGTTGTTATTGACGAACGAAATGGTGATGATGTAACTGTATTAATAAGATGTGAAGATTTTTTAATTGGTGTTGATGTTGATGAACATGTTGATAAATGACTATTATTATTTCGATAATGACAACACCAACAAAGAAATACCATTAATAAAGATACAAGAAAAAGTGGAATAAAAATGCTTGCTAGAACCATCATAAGTGATGCTGATGGAGGTCGAATTATTGAACGTGAATTTGACGGTAATGAATCTAAATTGAGTAAAAACAAATTATTTATATACACTACTATTAAAAAGTACGATACTAAGTATTTAACTCAAATTTAACGAATTTCAAGTTTAAGAGAACTGTGTCAATATTAGATTTTAAGAACATCAAATTCTGAATAAAATGAGGGATTACCGGGCTTTCTAAAGCCTTCCTTCAAAAATTTATAAGAATCACAAAAAAGAAAAAAACAATGCGTGTTTATGATAAATTTCGTTTTGTGATTCTTATGACTTCTTAAGATAATGTTACAGGAAATGTGAAGACTTCTTATTTTATTCAAAATTTTGTGCTCTTCAAAATAGTACTCTTAAAAACTAATATTCACACGATCCTCCGAAGCCTAAACTCTTACCTATTCGGTTTTTCATAAATATTCGTCTTATAGCCTATGTGTAAAATTGTAGTATGGAATACCTTTGATAGGGACCTTCATTCAGCATTCAAAGCGGTATTTGTAAATAAGCGAAACACTTAATATCGTAAAAAAATCAAAATTAATGGAAAATATATTTTATAATTCGATATTGTACATATTTATATTGTAATTGTATTACAATGAAACTTAAAAGATTTCTCAAGATGTTGTGCTAGTACATTCAAAAGATTAGAACTTAATATTTACTAACATTAATATTCATGTATATCGAATATCATTTAAAAAAAAAACGTTAGTTTATTGAGATCAGAAGTATTTTTTACTTAATCTATCTAAATGATCTTAAAATTATTCTCGCTATCAAATAAAGCTTCAACTCGAAAGATAAAACTACTCATGATTCAACACTTGCCTTTTTATATTCATACTTAAACTTATCATAGAAAATGAAGAACACTACAACTATGATCGTTTTCTTTTTCTCATATCAAAGATTAATAAGCAAAATAATATGCATTAATAGATATATATCAAATCATTAAGTGATCAAATCAAAAACGAAATGTTAACGATGTTACATTTCGATGATTTTTGTTTGTTATAGAAGTATGAATAATATTTAAAATAAATTCATAATGAAAGCTATTTAATTTTCTTTTCTCTTATAATCATTTAGAAATTATTTGAAAGTTTAGTTTTATTTTTTACCATTTCGATGAATTGATACTGTTTGATCAAGATTAATACATGATGGATCATCACTTGTCGGTGGTAAATTATCACATGTCGGCATATTTTGTAGAAGTTCAGCTAAAAAAAGAAAAGAAATATGAAAAAAAAAAAAATTATATTTTTTTTTGTTC